ACTCGTCAATTTTTTTTTCCCTTTTTACATAAAAAAAAAAGTTAACCACCACGGACCCCCCCCCCCCCAGTACCGAGCCACCGCTGACGCCCAAATCGTGTCGACAACACCCTCATTGACAAGTGCAACCTAGGCCCGGTAGTCAGCTCCTCCACTCTTTTCTTTGTCGGTAGGAGTGAATCTGCACGTCTTCCACATACAGATCCAGAAATAAATTAAATTAAGAATAAGAAAAAAAATCATTGATAAGTGCAACCTAGGCCCGATAGTCAGCTCCTCGAACTCTTTTCTCTGTCGGCAGGAGTGAATCTGAACATCTTCCACATACAGATCCATAAATAAATTAAGAATAAGATTAAGAATAAGAAGAAAAAAAAGAGAAAAACACAGCTGTAAGCCGAATCTTGACATCTTCCACATAAATATACAGAAATACATAAAAAAACCCACCCCCCGCCAACCGCCACGTGCTTAAAAAAAAATAAAACCCCGAAGAATTATAGACATAAAACAACCCTCACAAAAAAAACAGAAAAAAAAGCGAACCGCCGCATCGTTTCGTTTTCTACTCGAAGAATTGAGTCGTCGATTTTTTATGACCCCCCACTCCCCATTTTCCACCCATCACTACCAGACCATTACCAGTCGAAAGAACCCCCAAACCATTTTCCAACCATCCCTACCAATCACTACCAATCCGAAGAACCCCCAAACAGCTCCCAACAACGGCCGAAGCAAAGATCAACCCTCCACCCAAAAAGGAAACCGGGTCGCCGTCCACACACAAAGCCAAACGACCGACTGAAACGACCACCAGACGTACACTACCCAAAGCCTACCACGACCACTCGCACTACCGGTCCGTCTCCTAGCCGCGACCGCACCCTTTGCACTTTTCCCTAAACCCCAAAAGACCCCGCCAAACCTCATTGGACGTTCACGACATTTCCCAAAAAAGCAACCGACAGAAAACGACAAAATGACAATCGAGGTAACATGGTCCTCCCTCCCTCCTGCGCCTCCGCGCGGTGCGCCGTAGACAGTATTTTGGTCTTCTGACTGTGGCCTAAGCTAGCAACTGATGCTGTCAGTAATTTTCCGGGTAGAATTGTGGGACTCCGGCCCGATTTATAATTTGATAATAAAAATTGTGATCTTTCCAGGAAAAAAAAAGAAAGACTCCTGTCGTCTAACGAGACCCAATACAAGCAAAATGTATCCGCGAGTAGACGTGGCAACATGCGCCCGATGTAGTTCCGTCTTTATCAGATTCACATTTGGTTAGTGGTGCGGCGAGGCCCTTAATTGGACGGGCCGAGCGTATTGACCATGACGCGAATGTCTCGGGCAACTTCGTGACTTTCCTTCCCTACCTGGTGAAAAACGTATTGAGTTTGGTTTCTCTATGAACTCTTCGCGGTGGATGAAGGAAATGACTGCGATGCAATATTAACTTGTAGATAGCGGGCGATAGCGGCGATTATCACTCAGGGCGGGATCGAGGTTGTCGGTAATCGTCTGCAACGTGTGTGAATTACCGCGCCCATGGCAGCGGGCGTGCGCACTTAGCCGACAGATAGGCTGCGCGGGTAAGCAGACAAGCAGGCGAGAGATAGTGTAGCTGCCGTGAAGTGTTCTTCTGTGTTACTCTACTGAATAATGTCTTCGTTGGGTGAAAGGTTGCAAGCTACGGTGGGCGGGACCTGTTGACAGGAAAGGCAAGCACGTTGACAGGGGGTTTCCCGGCAGATCGAGTCTGCATTGTGAACGTGTGCACGCCAAGGAAAAGAGAGAGAGAGAGAGAGAGAGAGAGAGAGAGAGAGAGAGAGAGAGAGAGAGAGAGAGAGAGAGAGAGAGAGAGAAAACACACACACACTCGCACATCTGTCTCTTATACACATCTAGATGTGTATAAGAGACAGGACGTGGGCGGTCCTTGTCGGTGGTATCGGACGAAGTGACGGCGAAAGAGATGAATCCTGCAATGTTTGGCAGTACTGGTCTGTTTGGGCCATCGGCGTCTGAGTTGGATTCGTTCGAGAGGCAGGCGGAAGATCTGTACGCGGAATGGAGCGCGGCGAATGCGCAAGCAGACTACTCTCAAGAGCACTCGTTGTTGTATCCTCCCTCGAACTGCCCCAAGCCAAGAGCACTCCCTTGTATCAACTGCGAAACATTCTACAGAAAGAAAACCCGTCTCTGCTCTTTCTTCTCCTTCTCCTTCTCCTCCTCCTCCTCCTCCTCCTCCTCCTTCTTCTAGAAGAGCAATCGGCTTCTTATAACGGTCATTATTGTGGTCTGAACCCTGGTTGCTTACGTGTCAAGCAGTGTCTCCTACGAATTGCCGTAATATACCTTTGCGATTCCGCGTGCATCCCAGCGAATGTAAGGGACTGACGTCGTTTTCTCCTGAGGGTGCCGCACCCTTCCTCCCCTCCCTCCCTCCCTCCCTCCCGATATTTCCGCAGTTCTGTCCTCTGTTCTTCTTCTTCCCACCTCCCTCATCCCCTCTTTTCGTGCTCTGTTTCTTCGCGCGAAATTTATGGTCGTCGTCAGGGGTGAAAAATGATCGTTCTGGATCGGTGCAGCATGTCATCCTTTGGAGGAGAAAAAACGAAACATGACGATCTCACTCAATCCGTGCACGCCGTCCTTGCGATGGCTAGAAAAGAGAAATTATATATGTGAACAGTTGAGGTTATGCGCACGTCGTCTCCTCCCCCTGGAAACGAAGCGCACGTCATCATCCCAGTCATCATCTCGGCGTCAATTACAGGGTATATTATACGGCGGCAATTAAACGGCGGCAATTATACGGCGGCAATTAAACGGCGGATTCTAAAAGGATAAGACGAAATAAAAAAAAAAAARAAGAAAAAAAAAAAGAAAAGAAGAAAAAAAAACGGTGCATTCCATACGAAGCGAGCCGGAAAAAAAAATGAAGAAAAGTAATAAACGAAGATTGGCCACGACCCGCATCACGTGGATCTGATCTCGGGCGACCTTGGGTCTCGATGCACCGCTCGCAGATTATGAAAAGAGAGAGAGAGCGAATATTTCAATCGAATTTTAGCGGGAAGATACATGCACGCATGTTTGCAGATTGGGCGAGTCGTCGTGTATCCTTGTTGGGGTCTTCATCGTCTGTGTTTCATTCGTTGTTCCAATTGTCCTCTTCCGTACGCACGGTGAGCAATGTGGACGAGGAGTGGGGTAGTGGGAAGTACAGATGATTGATCGCAAAACCGCGCACGCGCGTGAGAACACTAGCGATGGTGATTACGTTAAGTACAGCTCGAGATCTGGAAGCAGTGTATGGGCATTGACGATATATATATGCACAATATGTAATATCCTTTTCTTTACCTCTTTGCCTTTTGGCTGCGTGCAAGTGGGTCCTTGTGACACACGGGGATGGGGGCAGCCAGCGCTCAAGCTGTCATCCACGTGGCTGGCCTTGTACGTAAGAGGTTATGAACAGGTGGAGCTTTCCTTACCTCTTCCCCTTCCCCTTTTTTCCTTTTCCTTTTTCCTTCCCCCTTTTTTTGGCTTCTGCGGTCTGATTCACAATGTGACAATATATATTGTTGTTCTCTTCTCCCTCTCTGCCTCGGTTTGCGGGGCAGTTCTGTTTGACGAGATATATATATGTCTACGTATATATACATGTATCGTCAAACAGAACTGCCCTGTAAACCGAGGCAGAGAGGGAGAAGAGGACAAACAAACGAGGGGCTGTGACAAGCTGTTTCGTCGGAGTTTGATCGTCTTATCAGGAGGCTGAACCCATATCTTTGTGACGATATATCCACCACGTGGCCGGCCTTGTACGTAAGAGGTGACGAACTGGCAGAGCTTTCCTTCTTTCCTTTTTTGTTTTGTCTTTTTTCTCCTTTGCGCTCTGATACACGGTGTGACGATATATATATACACGAAACGACCTTTTGCAGCCGGAAGTGCAGGGGATAAGTGCATACTCGCATTACCGTCTTCCCCCGAATAGAACGCCCGGTCATTATTGTTGTATCTATTAGACTGAAAGCCGCCCCAAATACATCCATGATGACCCTACGTTGTAATCGGGGGAAGACGGTCGGACTTTCGTTGACGTATCTGACGGCGGAAGATATGATGGCGAGTGCCATTGTGCTCATTCAGTGTGTTCAGCAAGTGAAAAAAACTAGTACTGTAGTTAACTGTGCATGGGCTAAACCGAGATCTGCATTAGCATGTGTGTCGTGAGTCCTATCGCGGAGTTCCATTCATTGAGCGAAAGATTCACTTCAGTAAAGAAAACTACCGTAGTCTGTAGTAAAGTGTGCGCGAGGCTAAAGCGATCGGAGCGGAGCGGGACGGGACGGGATGGGACGGAGCGGCAGGGGTCACGCTGGAGAGGGGCTTATGACTCTGCCGATCGCGCTTGTCGACTATCGCGATCGGGGTTTTACGGGCACGGCTGTGCTCACTGCTGCTGCGACCGTCAACCATAGTGTCGCGCACGGAAAATTACAGTAAATAATAAAATACAAAAAAGCGGCATCACAGGAAGGACGACTCCTCTTATGAATGGTAAGGACTCTTACGAATGGTAAGTAACTTACATATATTTCGATGTGAATGAATTTTTGCGAGCGTTGTCGAATCATACTTTATTCTGGATTATTGACCGACTCTCGTGTGACACCTGTCGGGACAGAGACGCTGTGCGCCTTGGCTGTGGAATGCATCATCTATGCCATAGCCATTATCAATCGATTGCGACTGCCGCCGTCTGTCCTGAAGGGTGCCCAACATTTCCTCATTGTACACATCCCTATCACCCAGATATACGTTGTCCCTATTGTGCCCAAGGACGCTATCAGAACTGTATGATGCCGCACTGTGATGAACGTCCTGC